TAGGGAAGAATGTGAGGAGAGAATTGATGTGCTTTAGCAGACTTTAAGAAAACTGTCAGGCAACAGCGAGACGCTGGAAAAGAAGAAAGAGAAAACTGTTCAAAAATGTTGTTCCGAGCATCCAGCTGTTCCACATTTGTTGGAAAATGAAAAAAAATTTCTGTTTTGTTTTGGACGAATTCACGAAGCTTCATTCATTTACATGCTGCTCATATTTAGGTACATTCGCGATAAGCCAGTGGCTCAGTTGCGGCATGACGAGTTTCTCTGGTATGCACAGGTTCGTTGTCATTTTTCTTTTCATGTCAGCAAACTAAGTGGATTTACATCTATGTTTTCAAGAGAAAAAAAAAAAATTGTTTGTTAACACTTTTAGCTATTTTTCAGGCGAAGTCTGCGGGCCTACTTAATGTGAAGCTTCACTGTGATACAGAGGAAGAAGTGCGATTCAAAAGGACATTGCTGCAAGAATTTTTGACCGATCAACCCTACTATAAGTAGGAAATTTTGCTATTCACAGAAACACTTAAGGATTCTTTTTGATTTTTTTTTCTGCTGGATCTCACTGATATATACTGGATTTACACAGGGTGTGAGCAGCTATATGGATGGGCTAAAAAAAGAAAAAAATAAACAGCAGTGCATATCAGTGCGCACCAAATTGCAGTACCAAAATCACACAAAAACATAATTTCTTAAATAACTTGAGTTATGTGAACCTAAAAACAGTGCACATTATTCAGATCGTTTTTTGTGGTCCTCGAAAAACGTATAATTTTCAGGGATGAGTATTCTCGAGTTGTAGATCTCTGGAATAAAGCAAGGGAAGAGGCAGTGATTGTCTGTGTAAATAGCTTTATTTTGCCGGTATTGGAACGCGAGGCACATGGAAGACTGCTGCAGGAATCGAGGGATTACGTGATTAAGGCAGGTTCTTTGAATCCTATTTCTCGCTGTTTTTTGCGAAATGTACCTTCTGTATGTCTCAGTTGCTGAACTGGAGCTGGCCGGGATTCATGCAACATTCAGCCTGGCTGGTTTTGTAGTTCTTTTCTACCACAGAATAATGTGCTTCGTCTCTCGTACCAATTTTTCTTTTCTGATACTTAACCGTGCTTCCTCTTTTTAGACTCCGGAGAAAATGTGGATTTTTCTTCGTCTCACTGGCATTGGCAGTATCCATTTTTAATTTGCTTCACTGAGTTCCTTTCATTGTTTAGTAAAAATTTATGGCAAGAAGTCAAAATTATCTCTCTGTGAGTGACTGAGGCATTCCAGGTCAACCTAGCGATAGCAAGTGTCAACAGCAACTGTTCGCTGCTGTCAGTGTCTCAACCTCTTTTGGGGGGTTTTTTTGGGGTAAACATATATCAGTATTGTTCCTTATTGAATTGAGTGAATCATAGAGGGGTTGTTTGTTAGCTGAGAGAACTGGACTTTCCACCTTCTGCCCAAAATCAGCGTTATTTGCAGCTGCCCATGCTTACTGATGGTAAAAAGTAGGATCACTTAATTGCGTCTCAGTAACCGATCACACTTTTGTATGTGTCCAATTTTCAAAAAAACCATGAACTCTTAATTTCTTCGTTATACTGCTCGGCAGCTGGCCACTTTGCTCTGAGCTCATCCCATCCAGCGTGAGCTTTCCGCATGGAGTCTCTTCTTTCGAAAAGCGATAACACCTGTTGTTCTGTAAATTTACCATAACATTTCAGCAAAGTACACAAAATCTTTATGATCGTATCAGGATGGCAGCTTATCGTAGCCCACATGAATACGGCGACGATTCTGAAAATGGATTTACTGGTGGAACGAGGGTTCTGAGCATTGCTTATCCGGAGGAAAGGTAATTATTGTAACTGATATTAGTGAAGTATTAGAAAAAATGTCTCGTAACTGTGTAGTTTAAGTCAAATTGTAATTATTTTAGAGGACAAGCATCGTTTTGTGCTTTGCTCGATCAGGATGGCCAGGTTCTCGATCATCTGCGATTAGTAAATATTACGAAAGGACTGAATTCGAGGAGGCCGGGGGAAGCAGATCTAAAGGTTTGCAGATTCTTCATTGTTTTCTGAACATCATAATCTTGCAGACGTAGATTTTGCTTTAAATTTTGGTTTTCAGCGCCAAGATTTGAATTCTCTTCGTAAATTCATTGAAAAGCGTCGTCCTCATGTGATTGCAATATCTGGCGAAAATATGGAAGCGATTTATCTGCACCGTGATATCTCGTCAATGGTACGGGAAATAGAAACTCCCTCAGATGTTGCTGTCGAGATCGTGGATAGTGAAGCTGCTAAAATTTACATGCACAGCAAACAAGCAG